CGTGCCTCACGTTTGGTTCTAAGAGCAGCCCCAGGATTTTTGATATATTTGCTGAGACGTTGTGCTGGATTCTGCTTAACATCTGTAAATGCCCAACCGTGATCCATTACCTGGACGATTTCCTGACCATAGAAAGGAACGTGGTATCTCCTAGTAGCCTCCTGTCCATAACACGACTGTTCACACAACTAGGAGTACCTGTTTCGCCAACAAAGACTGAAGGTCCAGATACGATCATCAACTTCTTGGGGGTGGTGCTGGACTCTGTACATATGCAGGCTAGCCTCCCCAGGGAGAAGATTGATCGCATCCTGGCAGCCATCGATCTTTACCTAGCAGGTGGCTCTTGTAATAGGAAAGAATTACAATCCCTGTTGGGTTCACTAAATTTCGCCATGAAAATAATTCCACAGGGGAGAGCGTTCATATCCCGTTTGCTTAGGCTATTTCCCCTATTGCAATCTGATGCCTCTCGGCGAACATGGCAATGTGCCATATTGTAAACAAGGGACGTTCCTCTTCCCTGGCTATCATGCGGTTTATGAGGACTCTCACTTGGCTATGTGCAAAACATAGTTTTCTTTTAACTTGCATTCATGTGTCTGGGGTTCTCAATATCGCTGCTAATGACTTATCATGGTCTTGGTTTCAGGAGTTCCGGGCAGCACTACCAACAGCTACCCTGACACCGACTCCAGCACCTCAGTGGCAGGAAATGGTTTGGGACTAAAGGAACTGCTCTATCACGGGCAACAACGTTCGCAACTCGGTCTTTCCGATAACACCAGGAAAGCATATGGCAGAGCATATCATATTTTCAATAAATTCTTGCTGGACTTTAATGTTACTGACCAATTTTCTATTGAGACTATCATCACATTCATTTCTTTTTGCCACCTTCATCTGACACTATCATACAATACCATTAAGTTGTATATCACAGGTATTCAACATCACATCCTCACAACTTGGCCTAATAGACAACAATTTCTGTCATTCTACCAAGTTAAAGCCATACTTAAAGGTATTAAAGACTCCACCCCTATACCCTAACTGTCCAGACTACCCATTCACGATGTTTTGTTTCAGTCACTATCCAATTTACTAGACACCTCACCATTCGAAGCTCATACAAACCGTATAATTAAAGCATCCATCTATTTGGCTTTTTACGGTTTTCTTCGGCCCAAAGAGTTCACCACTACTAACGATAACTCCCCCAACTTCATCACAAGGTCAAACCTGGTGAAGGTACAAGATCACTACCTGCTATCCCTACACCATACCAAAACTACTGCCAAAGGACAGACGGTCACTATCACCTATTACCCCACTAATAATCATTGGTGTCCGGTGGAAGTTTTCGACAAATATTTTTCCGCTTGTACAATAGCACCAACACAACCACTCCTTACATTACACGGTAATAAGCTTACTACGAGTAAATTCATGGTGTATGTTAAGATGTTGTTGGTCCGTTTAGGATTAAACCCAGTAAATTACTCTGGTCACTCATTTAGAATAGGAGCCGCCACTACAGCTTCTAAGAAGAATATCCCGGCTCACATTATTAAAATATTAGGCCGGTTGAAATCCACGACTTACACAAGATACATCCCTCAGCCAATACAAGAGGTGCGTCTAGCATTCAAGACCATGAATATGTGATATGCTATGTGTATATGTAGGATGAATAGACTGGTTTATATCTTTTTTGCCCTCTTTTATTTCAGGCCTACTACCTCGTCAGTTCCGGCACACCACAACTGACATTTCCATTCCCTGTTTGTCTTATGTTACTAATGCTACGACTTTATGCCATGACCACAAATGGAAGGCGTGGCCTGAAGTTGTGGGAGGGGCTTGGTTCCCCTTCTTAAGGAGCACCAGCCCTTCCTTCATTACCTGTTAGGTCTGGCGAGTTATCCCACCCACCACACCTCCTTTTATAAGCACTTCATAAGGTAGGCCCTCTTTTATTTCAGGCCTACTACCTCGTCAGTTCTGGCACACCACAACTGACATTTCCATTCCCTGTTTGTCTTATGTTACTAATGCTACGGCTTTATGCCGTGACCACAAATATATATATATATATATATATATATATGACTATATATATATATATATATATATGTAAAGCCTTGGCCTGTAGTTGTGGGAGGGGCTTGAATTCCCTTAAAAGGGCTGACAATCCTCTCCCACCTTACCGTGGACAGTCTGGCAAGTCACTTCCGGTCGGACCGCATCTTGGTTTCTTACCTGCCTTCCATGGTGGTCCTGGCTCCTGTTCTACCCGTGGGGCCTCACTTCCGCGTGAAATCAGGAGAAGATCACTATTCTAGAGGTCCTGCTGCAGGGAGCTGACAGCGTGTATGCGTCTAATCGTGAGTTTACCGACGAGTACAATTGTACACCGTCGGAATCATACCAGAGAGTCAGCCGAACTCCAAGATATTCCGGATATGCTACAGACCCCCACGGACTCACATGTATCATGGGGGTCTGCTGTATTCCTTGTTAAAGGGCTGTTTCGGCTCCCGCCCTTTACAGTGAGTACAGACGGGTACACTGGTACACCATCTGTATCACTTAACTTGGCTCAGTACCCTCCTCCCCACCCCCCTCACGGTATCACCAGGGGCATGGAGAGTCCCCACATGCCAGCTACCCGCCCTCCCTATCAACAGGGGCACTAAGGGGAGTCACATACAGGCTTCCCCGGGTCTTCTCCTCCTCCTATGACGAAGGTCTCGGATGGTAGGCAGATTCTGGTAGGTTTTCCGGTTATTGTTCGGGTCCACAATCTGTGCCACTAACATATTCTGTACACACAGATACTCCCCTTATCATTTTACTGGGTTGCAGCACGTATCTACTGCCACTAGCTCCTATTTTTCTGCATATAGTCTCGTCCTGACTAAAACTTTTTCAGGTACGCTTTCACTACCCCGTCCTTTCTATTTAGAGTAGTACTGGCTTTTTGACATTTAGGTTACCTGACTAGGTTTCCTTTTTTCCAGTCTTAATCCATACGTTAGTGGTCCCGCAAGGCCAACACCCATCCTCATACTCGGAGGTATACGTCCCTTGGCCCAAATAATAGGTAGCCACCTCACATTGTTGCATAGGGAGGGCTTCCCATGTCACTCCCATTCTATCTTATGCTTTAGTTGCCACCGAGAGGCCAACACCCCGCCACAACGTTTCGGTGGCCTCGAAAAATCCCATCGGGCCAACTCATAGTTAGCGCCTCTCACACCTCTTGGCAATTAGTATGGACTCATCTTTCACGTTAAGTTAGCTTCATTCTTCACCGCTTGGCTTCTAGCTAGCCTGCGGTCCCTTCGTCCCTACACGGTCCCTTCGTCTCGCTTATATTAACCCCTTAAGGATGGAGCCAAATGTACACGTTGTGAATGAAACAAAATGTAAACAAAACCTGGCATTTGCGCTACATGTCTGTCCAACCGTAATTCACCTCTTTCATATTAAATGCACCCACCCTTATTATATATCATTTTATTCAGGGGAAACAGGGCTTTCATTTAATATCAAATATTTAGCTATGAAACATAATTTAATATGAAAAAAAGGGAGAAAATAAGATTTTTTTTTATTTTTTTTTAGTTCTACATGACATTTTAACTGTCATAATACTGTTTGCTTTTACTGCAATAAAATACACATATTTGTATTCAGCATGTCTCACGTGTAAATCAGTACCCCCTATGTACAGGTTTTATGCGTTTTGGGAAGTTACAGGGTCAAATATAGCACGTTACATTTGAAATTGAAATTCGCCAGATTGGTTACGTTGCCTTTGAGACTGTATAGTAGCCCGGGAATGAAATTTACACTCATAATGGCATACCATTTGCAATAGTAGACAACCCAAGGTATTGCAAATGGGGTATGTCCAGTCTTTTTTAGTAGCCATTTGGTCACAAACACTGGCCAAAGTTAGCGTTAGTATTTGTTTGTGTGTGAAAAATGCAAAAAACGCCAATTTTGCCCAGTGTTTGTGACTAAGTGGCTACTAAAAAAGACTGGACATATCCTGTTTGCAATACTTTGGGTTGTCTACTATTGCAAATGGTATGCCATCATAGCGGTAATTTTCATTCTTGGGCTACCATAGGGTCTCAAAGGCAACGTAACCAATCTGGCGAATTTTTATGTGAAAAAAATGAAACGCAAGCCTTATATTTGACGCTGTAACTTTTGAAAACACCATAAACCCTGTACATGAGGGGTACTATTGTACTCGGGAGACTTCGCTGAACACAAATATTTGTGTTTCAAAACAGTAAAAAGTATCGCAGCAATAATATCGTCCGTGTAAGTGCTGTTTGTGCGTGAAAAATGCAAAAAACGTCACTTTTACTGGCGATATCATTGTTGTAATACATTTTACTGTTTTGAAACACTAATATTTGTGTTCAGCGAAGTCTCCCGAGTAGAACAGTACCCCACATGTACAGGTTTTATGGTGTCTTGGAAAGTTATAGGGTTAAATATAGTGCTAGCAAATTAAATTCCCTTTACTCTCGGCATGGGTTGTCAGGCAGATCCCGCTAATTGTAATTAATTAAGATACCTAATTATGTAAAAATATTACATAAATATATATGTAGAATTAATATATGTATATATATATATACGTATGTGAATCTATATGTGTATATATATATATATATATAATTTTTTTAAAATATTTTTATTTATATATAGGTATATAAATAGTGATATATACGTATATATTTATGTATGTAGATATATATATTATTTCATTCTACGTGTATTTTGATATAAATATATATATATATTAATATCACAATACAGTTAGAATGAAATAACACACATCTATATATTTTTTATTTTTTTTTATTATTTTTTAATTAAATTTTTTAAAGTATTTACATATTTAATTTTTTTATATTATATATAAATATATATATATATATATAACAATAATTATATATATATATATTTAATCAGTATCAGTCTACGTGTAATTTGATATTAATATATATATATGATTATATATATATTAATAGTAAAATACACCTAGACAGTATATGTGTGTATGTATATGTGTATATAAATATATATACTTAGATCATATATATATATAATATATATATGATCTAAGTATATATTATTATTTTTTTTACACTTATAAACTTTTATTAATTTTATTTTCAGCCAGCAGGGGGACCACCTGTCATTACAGGCAGCCCCCCTGCTGGCAATGCAGGAGGCAGCTACCCCCGGCCATGTGATTGTGGGGTCCTCGCAAGGACCTCACTCTCACATGGCCAGGGGGGCTTCCAGGGGGTCGCACATGCCGCGGGGGGCTCCCTGGGAATCCCCCCAACCGTGATCGCCGGCGACCGGGTAAGTACAGAAAGACCGGAGGGCGTAGTATTACGCCCGGCGGCATTTAGAGCCGCCTATAATAGGGCGTAATAGTATGTCCTCCGGTCTTAAGGGGTTAATTAAGTTACATATATATTGTTTGTTATGTATCAAGTTCCGGAGGGACTGGTGGTTCTAGGTCAGGTAGGTTGTTACACGTTTTTTTCTCTTTATTCCCGGGCTCATGCTACATTCATGTGTCCGGATAAAGTTTTCCTAAAACCTCACCACACTGGCATCATCGTCACGTTATTAGTTACACTTACAATACCGTCCCTCACAGCATTTGGTTAAATTTATCAGCTAAGGCTGACTCAAGGGTTACACATGGGTTTAGTACATTTTGACGCTGAGACACTAGAATGCAAAGATTTGTAACCGCTTTAACAGACCAAGAGTTAGTGTGTATAGTTATAAGGGCGGAACTAGATCAGAATTTGTGGGTTTTTCACATTAGGGAGAACCAACCCCATAGGGCGGTCACGGGGAACACTTCACTTAAACCCTGTCCAATCATAAACTTATCCTCTATTCCCAGTCTTCATTCCGTCGTACCCTTCGCCGAACTTTCCTTACAATATGTCGCTATCACCTATGCCATTTGGGCCACCCGGGTGACTGGTACAGACGCTTGGCTCTATGAAACGGACATTGTCGAAGTTTTACATTACTTCCCTTTCATCCTTCACTGTGGCATCTGCACTGCATTTAAGTGGCTAGGGCTTTATTATTTCTCACGACTCACTTTGGTTCCATGAGCAGCCCCAGAATCTGTGCTACTTGGCTGATACTTTGTGTTGGTTATGGCTTAATATGTACAGGTGTCCATCCGTTATTTCTACCTGGACAATTTCCCCATGATTGAGACCAAGGCACATCCCCCTAGTAGCCT